CTCCCAACATCAGGGTGAGACTTTTGTTGTTAAATGCACGGTTAAGAAGCTAGAAACATATCACGGATGGACCTATGATGGATGTTCAAAGTGTGCTGCGAAAACCAGACTTGAGGGTACATCAGTTATGTGCCCGATCTGCAAGAAAGTTCCAGATGCCATAGAACCAAAGTATGGTCGAAGGAGATGTTAGTATTATTTGGTATGTTATTTTTATCCTCACATATTATGACCGTCATGTCTTTTATTGTAGGCTTCGCATTCACTACATGGTGGAAGACGTACTGGATTTGCTTCATTAATCTTTTGGGATAAACAAGCTATTCAATTGATTAACAAGACAGCCACAGAGTTGAAACTTCTCATGCAACAGGTTTGGTTGCTTTGAAAGTACTCCACAATTAAATGTACGTATTTTGCTATATAACAATATCAATGTTCACAGGATAATCGCCCAGCATATGATTTTTCGGATGAGCTGGAAGATCCTGTAGGAAAGGTTCTACTAGTGAAAATGAAGCTCAATGAGTACAACAAAAAACATCCAACATCTGCAATTAGTGTAGGCCAGTTTACTATTTATGAAGACCTCATGGACCAGTTTATGGATGCAAATGTTGAAGTCGGTGAAGTTAATGCTCGTAATGCGAACAATGACAGCCAGGTTTGGATCCATAAATTATAACAAAAAAATGGTCCATAATATTACTATCCTTACATTATTGTTCAAGACAGTAAATATGAGTTAAATATTGTTTGAAAATTGATGCTCCAGGATGTTCCTTTGTTAGTTGAAATCACTGATATTCAGGATAGCCATGAAAACATGTCACCCGTTATCCCTCAGCCTGCTGCACCACAGAACAATGAACTTGAAGACGTCACTCTTGTCAAGCTTGCTAACCAGGTCACACCAGTAACTAATAGAGTGAGGAGAAGGCCGGCGATCAAGAGAAATGTTGGAGTGGATGTTTCTACCAGTTCTTTAATTTTTGGGTAAATATCTTGTCTTTCTTGATTATAAATATCACCAATAAAAAAATTATCCACCTCTTCCTAACTAATTTTTTATTATTTAGGCCATTATGTCAAATGCAGTTACTAATATTAGTTAAAGCTCAGGTAGTCAATGTACTGCAAAAACTTAAATAGTATTTTCCTGAATATCAGAGTAAAAGTCTCTGATCCATCAGTTAATACCTGGTAGGAAAACGTTAGTAATACCCATACAAAATTCATCGTGTTGTTGTGGTGGATAAAAAGGAAATATTTCTCAGTCTTTTACTATCATTATTTTTTTACCAAAAATTCTCACTCTCGATATGGGGAAAAACAATCTGCATATTAATGTAAGTAATTCTAAATCTTTGATGATCACAATAAGAAGAAAAAATAAAAAATTTCTAGAGTCTCCCTACTACTAGCCACTACTATTTTATACTATATAATCTCAATTGATACCTGAGATTACCAATAGCTACATGTCAATGATAGGTCAATGTCATGTATTTAATGCTTGCTTGCAGACATCGAACACCTAATGCTTATGCTGCATAAGCCATGTCCCTATCAACTTTGCTTTTAACAGTTCACATAACTTGTGTACGGTTTGACTGTTAAAGTTACAATCTTGGTCAAAGAAAATAATCAATATAAAATGCTAACCATATAAATATCAACTTCACGAAGCTCTCTCAGCTTTGATGTCATTAGTATGGCTTCCAAAGAACCATACGGGATTAGTCCGACATACTCCAATGAACTAAATGATTGTGATTTATCTGTACCAGGTATTACTCTCTTTCATTTCTATGCTTATAAAAACATGTATATGCTGTTATATATGAAAGTTGAAGATACTGTCATAGTTTTTAGCTAGTCCATTCAACATATATTCATATTACGAATCTCATTCGCATTGTATGTTCATTTCTCAACAGCAATGGTGGATGTTAACTCTTCAAATCAAACCCCGACATCTAGTGTTTTTAGTCAACTTGGTGTGACTAGCAAACGAAGGCAAGGAAGGAAGTCTGGTGCCTTGACAGATTTAACAAACTTGGTTTCGAATTTGGCAGTGCACTTTGATACCGGTATTGCTATGATACCTTCTGAGGCAATCTTGAGTAGACTCTTCAAGACGTTTATTAATGGTTCTTTTCATCTCTTATAGAAAAGACAAATGCAACAGGAAGGAAAGAGCCTTTAACACGAAAGAGTGCACGAATGAGAAGCATTGAAAATATGTGCATTGCCAATAAAAGGACAAGGAAAAGAATACAAAAAAGATGTCAACGAAGGTAATGCTCATATTTTTCCGATCTAGATGTTGTATACGATGAGCAAACCAACTTAGAAAACCCGTGTTGCATGTTCTTTCATTTCTTGCTGCACCACAAAGTAAGAGTTTGACCTATTAAGCTGTTGCTATATTTCGTTCATGTTCGTTTAGTTTTTCCAGCAAATGGGTTTTTGGGTGATACAAGTTTATGCGTAGAAAGGACTCTATCAGAACGACCGGGAGAAGATGCAATTAGGCCTCCAACATCAGGTGATAATCAATTAGGTTATATATTGTATAAATCAATTCAGATTACATATATGAAATATTATACCGTATATATAAAGGTTTCGGGCATGTAATATGTCTATAAATTTTTATGTTTTACAAAGCTAAAAAGCCTTATCTGGGTGCATGTATATGTCAAAAGGGTATTTTTAATCACATTAAGAATTCATAATTTAGAACTTTAGCGAGTATGAAAGTGTAGGCTTTAACAATACATGTGGGATTTGGAAAAAAAAAATGAAGAGTCTTAACTAACTTCGTTTTTGTAGTATGAATGAAATTGTAAAAAAATAAATTTTTTTCTAAATGCATAGGTTGGCAGTTTTTTTGTGTGTGTATGAAACAAATATATATTTATGTGAGAGTAGATAGCTGTGGAATAGGGAAATGATATTGGGAAAATCCCTTAGAAGCAACATAGGAAATAAAATAATTTGTCATTTTCAGCTTTGGTTTTTTAAATGTAAAGGTTGTCATCAAGGAGAATTACATCATGTCAGTCAATCGCATCGTCAGGCTAACAAATCTATCAATGAAACAGAATCAGGTATATGTATACAGTAGCCATTCGTTCCTATTAATGTTTTGTTATGCACAAGATAATGTTATTAAAACTTATGAGTGACAGCAACAGCTAATAGTCATTGACTTATGTTTCTTTTAATGTGTAGCTTATAGAAACATTACTTTCAACTTTGAAAATAATAGCAGTGATGACAGTGGATCAGATGATGAACCCTTTGATCTAAACGAAGGTTAGCTATTGCCATTAACCATAGTTACCAAATGAGAAATAAGCAGCATGTAAGTTTATATCATTTCAAATTAGTTGGCTGTCTTTTTTCCAAATGTCAGGTACACAGTCAAGTGGGTTTAACTCTCTATCACAAGACAGTATTTCAACTGATCATGATGACTCTATAATTGCATTCGATGGTACATTACATTTTGCATTAGAAAATGATGTGTCTAATTATGTAATGCACAGCTTATACATTGCATTTGTTCACAGGATATATAGATGAAGGGGATCCTATACATGTTTGCAAGTTTTGTGGAGCAAATCTTTGGTTCAATGAAAGGGTGAAGAAAGATAGGAAGCAAAGGCACGTGGATACATTCTCACTTTGTTGCCTAAAAGGTAAAGTAGTTTTGCCTCTAATGAAGTCACCTCCACCGACGTTAGCAAGGTTGTTCTTTGAGAAGGACTCGCCTAACTCTAGAAACTTCCATCATAATATTAGACAATATAATAATATGTTCTCATTCACATTATTGGGAGGCAAGGTAGATCACTCTAAAAATAATGGTGGAGGTCCATACACATTTGTATTATCAGGAATGAATTACCATCATATTGGTAGTTTATTGCCACCCGAGGGTTGTCGTCCGGTGTTCTCACAACTATACATATATGACACCGAAAATGAGGTCACCAACAGAATTGCTGCTGTTAGGTATTAATCTTTACTTCAAATTTAAATATAAATTCAATTTTATCTATACAAATACTTCGAACCTCTGATGACCAATTTGCTCGGCATTTTTGCAGTAAATATCAAAATGAAGTCATCATCAATTCTGATATAGTACAACAAATTAAGGAGGAGTTAAATGAAGTGAATCCTTTTGTCTAACAATACCGTCTTGATCATCATTACTCAATAGTTATCAACATAGACCACTTAAGCTGTGTTTGCTTAGTGCAAGACAAACAGATGGTAGAATCTATAATGTGCCTATAGCTTCTGAGGTTGCAGCATTAGTTATTGGTGATTTAGACATGACATCTTCAGTTAGGGATATTATTATACAAGAACATTCTGGGACTCCTCAAAGGATTAGTGAATTGCATGCATCTTATTTACCTCTTCAATATCCTATCCTATTCCCTTTCGGAGAAGATGGCTATAGAGATGATATTGAACATAGAGAAGAGACCGTTAGGGTGACCAAAACAAGAAAAAGATTAAGTATGCGTGAGTTCTTTAGCTATCGCTTGATAGTAAGAACAAATGAGCCCTCTACCATCTTGCATGCTTCTAGATTACTCCAACAATTTATAGTCGATGGATATACAATGATAGAATCACAAAGGTTGCTATGGGTCAAGACACATCAAAGGGAGCTACGTGTAGACTTATACCAAGGATTATCTAATGCTATTGTTGGAGGGGAACGAAATGCTGCTTCAATTGGGAAGCGAATCATTCTTCCATCTTCTTTCACTGGTGGAGCAAGATATATGGTCAACAATTATCAAGATGCAATGGCTCTTTGTCGGTCTGTTGGGTATCCTGATTTATTTTTGACATTTACTTGCAATCCTGCCTAGCCGGAGATCACAAGGTTTTGCTCACAACACGCAGTCAAGCCATCCGACCGTCCAAATATATTAGTTTGCATTTTCAAACTGAAGTTACAATGTCTCATGAAATTTCTCAAGACTGAGAAGATACTTGGTGAAATCATAGCAGGTTAGCTCATATAATAATATTCTCCTTATTTACTGTTCTTTGTATTTACTTCATTTCTAATTATGCAATTTTAAACTGTGACATCTCTTCATTCACTTTCTCAGAAATTTACACAATCGAATTCCAAAAGAGAGGACTCCCGCATGCACATATACTATTATTCCTTCACCCTAGAGACAAAATAAAAGATCCCGAAGCCATTGATGCAGTTGTGTGCGCAGAAATACCAGACAAATCATCAAGCCCCATTCTGTACGAGTTGGTGAAGAGATATATGATACATGGTCCATGTGGTGTTAGTAACCCAAAGTCACCATGCATGAAGGAAAGAAAATGCACCAAATATTTTCCCAAAAAATACAATCACCACACCATTGTTGATGAGGATGGGTATCCTACTTATAAACAAAGAGATGACGGTAGAACTATTGAAAGCAAAGGTGTACATCTAGACAACCTGTATGTCATACCATATAATCCAATATTGCTACAAATGTTTCAAGGGCACATCAATATTGAGAAGTGCAACCATTCAACTGCAGTCAAATATTTGTTCAAGTATATCAGCAAAGGAAATGATAGAGTAGTTGCTGCACTTTTCCAGAATAATACTGATGGTAACAACAAAATAATTGATGAGGTGCAACAATACTACAATTGCAGATATATATCTGCATGTGAAGGTGCATGGCGTATATTTGGATTCAATATCCATCATAGAAATCCTGCAGTAGAAAGATTGAGTTTCCATTTACCAAACCAACAACATGTCATATATGCCAATACAGATGATGTTGCTGCATTGTTGGAGAAGCCGAGGGTATGTGAGTCATAGTTTCCATCTTGGATGGAAAAAAACTCAAATGATGGTTTTGCTAGAAGTTTGACTTATATTGAGTTCCCTAATCATTACGTCTACCAAAAGGATAAACGAAAATGGAAGCGTAGGAAGAAAGGCTTTGCCGTTGGTAGGATGACGCATATCTCACCATCTGTAGGGGAATTGTATTATCTCCGTGTGTTATTGACCAAAGTTAAAGGTCCATCCTCTTTTGATGCAATTACGATAGTTGATGGTATTGTATATACAACTTTTAAGGATGCATGCTTTGCATATGGTCTTCTTGATGATGACAATGAATACATAGCAGCTATAAAAGAAGCATCTGTTTGGGCAACTAGGACTTCCTTGCGAAAACTATTTGTTAGTATGCTGTTGTCATGTAGTCTTCAACATCCAGACTATGTATGGAGGGAGACATCAAAATTTATTTCAGAGGATATGTTGTACTTCCCTCGAGATGATCCTACATTTACAGGTAACTGTAAGTACTTTTGCAATCAATTATTATGTTACTTAAGTTATATGCTTGTACTTCATACTTATGATTTTTTAGTATACTTACTTTTTAGGTTTAAACATTAGTTTGGATGATAAAGAACAAGCAGCACTTAAAGACATTGATTCCTTGCTTCGTCAAAATGGGAAGAGCCTCCACAACTTTCCTTCTTTATCAATTCCGAATGGAACTCAACCAATAGATATCAGGAACCATCTAATCATTCAAGAGTTAAGCTATGATAGGCTTGAGATGCAACGTGAATCGATCAAATTGCTCAATATGCTTAATGCTGATAAAAAAAAAATTTATGACGAGGTTATTTTGCATGTTGAAAAAGGTGAAGGTGGATTCTTCTTCGTATATGGTTATGGTGGTACTGGCAAGACATTTTTGTGGAATGCATTGACCTCTACATTACGAGCAAAAGGTGATATAGTCATAACTGTTGCTTCGAGTGGGATTGCAGCTACTTTATTGCCATCTGGTAGGACTGCTCATTCAAGGTTTGCAATTCCTATCCAAATAAATGAGTCTTCCATTTGTTCTATAAATCAGAACACTCCACTAGCAAATTTGATCAAGAGTACAAAATTAATAATTTGGGATGAGGCTCCTATGGTTCAAAGGTTATGTGTGGAGGCGTTTAGTAGGTCTTTGCAAGATATCATGCAATCTAGCAAACCTTTTGGTGGAAAATGCATTATTATGGGTGGTGATTTCTGTCAGATTCTCCCTGTTATTCCTAAAGGAAATAGGGCCTCCATTGTAGATGTATGTATTAATTCATCTCACTTGTGGGATTACTGCACTATTTTCAAGTTGACAAAAAACATGCGTCTGTCTGCACCAAAAAATCCTGTGGATGTAGAAAAATTGGCTTGGTTTTCACAATGGTTATTGGATGTTGGAGATGGGAAATTAGGTGCCCCAGTGGATGGAATTGCACAGATTGAAATTCCAAAAGAGATCTTGATTTCAAACCCTATGGACCCAATGCATTCTATTGTTCAATCTACATACTCAGATTTGATAGATAACTTAGACTGCAATGAATATTTCAATAAAAGAGCAATATTGGCACCCACAATTGAGATGGTTAACCTTATCAATGAGTACATGTCATCATCTTTGCTAGGAGAGTCATTTGAATTTCTAAGCTGCGATTCTGTTTGCAAGACCACTGATAAAACTGATACTTTTGATGATCTGTACACAACAGAATTTCTCAACACAATTAACTGCTCAGGCATGCCTCCCCATAAGTTAATTTTGAAGGTGGGAGCACCTATAATGTTATTACGAAACATTGATCAAGCATCAGGACTATGTAATGGCACACGCCTTCGTATATCAAAGTTGGGGAAATCAATCATAGAAGCTGTCACATTGAATGGGTCCAATCCAAACAAAAAAGTCCTTATTCATAGAATGGATATGAATCCCTCAGAGAATAGGTGGCCATTTCGAATGCAAAGAAGGCAATTTCCAATATCACTCTCATTTGCCATGACAATCAATAAAAGTCAAGGGCAATCTCTTCGTTATGTTAGTTTATACTTATGCAAGCCTGTTTTTACACATGGTCAATTATATGTTGCACTGTCTAGAGTTAAGAGCATGGAAGGGTTGAAGATTGTTGTTGCCCAAACTGGTTCTGATGCATTGAACACAACAACAAATGTGGTATACCCAGAAATATTTAGGAATGTTTGAGGTTCATGGTAATGTAAGTAATATGGCACGTGGTATTCACTATTTTGTTTTTATAGTTCCTTTACCATTAGCAGTAAATACTGGTATCCATAGCTCATTATGTTTGTCAACCGTTACAATTTAATTGTTTAAGTTATGACATAAATAACTCACGCTGATCAAGCACTAACTGTTTGTGGGAATATCCCTTAACATTTCCCTTGTCCTTTGTGTTTTAAAGTAGTTCCCCGTGTAGTGCACGAGTATAACAGTCTAGTTAATATAATAATTATAACAAGTGGCTGGTATTTATTAAAAAAATTGGCTATCAAGAAAATGTTTTATTAAGAATATTATGAATATTGTCAAGAGCAATATTCAACCAAGTTAAATAAATCTTTGTATTGATTAAAGCAATCATAGCTTATGTGGTATAACTGTTTAAACAAATATCTGTTAGATGCAGGATATAAGAATGATTCAATTTACCTATGAATTTTTATGAAAAGATTTAGAAATAAGTTTGTTATAATTGCTGTTTATGTTGATAGCATGAATATTATTGGGACTCATGAAAAGCTTACAAAGCCATGGATTGCTTAAAAAAAGAATTCAAAATGAAGGACTCGGGAAGAACAAATTTTGTCTTGAATGACAAATTTAATATTTAAGAAATGAGATTTCTTTTTTTGTATCAAGAAACCTATACAAGAATGGTTTTGAAGTGTTTTTATATGGATAAATCACATCCAGTATGTACTCTAGTGGTTGTAAGTTCTTAAGAGAGAGACAAAGTTCCATTTAGACCTTAAAAGTGTGATGAAGAACTACTTGGTCCAAAAGTACCATATCTTGGTACAATTGTTGCACTTATGTATCTTGCTAAGCACATACGATCTGATATATCATTTGCTGTTACTTACAAGCAAGATCACCAACATGAAGACATTAAAATGGAGTTAAGCACATTCTTTGGTACTCTAGGGTTACTATAGACATGGTATTATTTTACTTGAATGTACCCAAGACTGACTTTGTTGATTATGCAGATGCTGGATTCTTATCTGATCCACATGTCGGTAGATCACAAACAGTATATTTGTTCACATATGGTAGGAGAACCATTTCATGACGATCTCTGAAACAAATTATATCAACCACATCATCTAATCATGCAGAAATTCTAGCAATATATGAAGCAAGTTGAGAATGTGTAAAGTTAAGATCGATAATACATCACATATGAACTACTTGTGGCTTGTCTTCCAGTAATATGATCCTAACAATTCTGTATGAAGATATTGCATGTATTGTGCAACTAAAAGAAGGGCATATCAAAGGAGATAGGACAAAACATATTTCAACAAAATTCTTCTTCACTTATGATCTCCAAAAAATGATGAAATTAACATCCAACAAATCCCTTCAAATAAAAATCGAGCAGATTTGTTCACTAAGTCACTTCCAGCCGCAATATTTGAAAAGCTTACTAATTATATTGGATGTTACGAACTCAGGGATGTCAATTGATGTTACCAAGAGGGAGAATTAATATATACTGTACTCTTTTTTTCTCCTCTATTTTTTTCCCACTGGATTTTCTTAGAAAGGTTTTTAGTAAAGCAGCATTGAATAGTTTATAATAGATGTGTACTCTTTTTCTTCTGCTAGATTTTTGTCCCGCAGGGTTTTTCCTAGTTAAAGTTTTTTAATGAGGCACATTCTTAAATAATAGACATCCAAGGGGGAGTGTCATAAATATTATCAAGAGTAGATGTCCATCTCCTCTTCCTCTTCAATTTCATCAACTCCCACTACTTCCACTAGGCATTAATCTTCTACTACTCCATTACTATCCACTATGCCTTTAATTTTGTAACTCACTCCCACTCACATTCATGTAGTTTATTGCTCACTGCCTATCATTTAAGTATAAGTGTAACCTATGTGTAAGACTATACTTATAAATAGAACATATCATGTCATTTGTGTTGCAAGACAAGTGAAGGAGTATCATTTATTTTCTTGTCCATATCTCTTTTCTAGTCTACTTTCTTTGTTGGTTAATTTCATAACAAAGAAACATTAATAATCTTTTTCAATTATGAATTTTGGGATATAAGAATTTATTATAATTAATTAATCTCTAACACACTCTAATGCAATAGCTCTTCAAGATTGAGAGTATTTTGGTACTTTCATTAAAAATTATATGGTATTTAGTGAATTTTTAATATCAGTTCATGGGTATTTCTGACTCTTGACTCTTTTATTTTAATTGGGGTATTTTATTTCTTTCATTAAAAAAATCATGAGCCACACAACCCAAAAAACAGATATTAGTTAAATTTAACGATAGTGATAATTATTGATCTTTGCTTAAACTTGGATTGGTAGATTTGAACCCAAAGAAAGTTTATAGTGTTAGGTGAATTTTTGGTGTATTTTCATAGGTATTTTTGACCTTTAATCCTTTAATTATAGATACACAAGGTAAACAAGTCATATGACTCATAAGTCATAAAAAATACTCCCCATCTCTCAAATCTTGTATAATATATGAGAAAACTTGTTAGTTAATTAATTACAAAAATACGTATTATTATTGGATTTGTACGGATGGTTTAGATTATGCCATATGACTAAGAAATGTTCTAAACATATTCTACCGCAGAAGAAAAGTAATTATCAAAGAATTATAACTAATAAGTGCCCAGATTCGGTAAAAAGGTTTTAACAAAGCAAAAACATTTATATCTTATTATCTATGAAACAGAAAGAACATGCAGACTAAAACAGGAAAATAAAACACATCCAGCTCAAGTAAAGTTGATTGTTTTACCCCAAAAAAAGAGAAAATCCTAATTAAATACAGTTAAAACACCAAAATTCAAATTCAGGTCTACATTTTTAATAAATTCATAATTATATACAACTAATAAATTCCCAATTAGTGCTACGTAACTAGGAATTTCTAAATCTTGTTAGATGACCACGTTGCCCCTCATTTTCCCCCCTCAAACCACCTCGTTTTCCCTAGAGGCAGCTCTATTTGGGTTAGCGGTGAAAGCCACTTATAAACTGCTTATGGAGTTTAAGCATGATGAGTTTGTACTTGTGGTGTTTGGATTAGGAATGAGAAAATTTGGCTTTTGCATAAAAAGCCACAGTTATGTCCCTGGAAGGACAGTAGGATTCCTAAGAACTAAATCGCAAAGGGAAAGTTTTCTCGGACTGAAAAAAGAAGAAGTTAGAGACTCAGAGGAAGTCTTGGTGCCCAGGAATGAGAAATAGAGATAAATATAGGCCAAAGATTATGTTAGAGGCCTCAATAAGGTGAATTTTGATGTTAAGCCAAACCAGAGGCAAAATCATAATTTTGCAAAATTTAGGGGTTGGTAAGGGCAAAAATGAAAATTATGCCCGAAAATTCCAAAAAAAATTCTAGAAAATGGGAAATGGTAGGTGCCTGAACACTCCAGAAAATTTTAGAAAAATAGAAATAAGGTTCAAAGGCATGTATGAGGCTAAAAATGATGAAAATGCCCCTAGAAGGAAATTGTGGAATTCCTAGGGTTTTGATTGATTTTGAATATTATTAAAAATAAATATTTAAAGTACAGGGAAGTCTCAGATAATTGGAAGAAAATGAAAAAAAATACTTGAGAAATTATCACAGGTTTTAAAAATAATTCTGTCCCCAGAAAGCGAAGAGATTGGCTTTAATGGAATTTAAAGCCTATTTATACACTATCCAGGGAAAGTCAAAGTCAACTGTCTAGAGGTTGACTTTTGACTTAAGAAAAATTAGAGGAATTCCCCATGATAAATAAATATTATTGGCACCCGAAGATAGATTCTCAAAATTGTGGACTGGTAGAAAGAATTCGGTCAAGATCACTCCGAAATAAATATTATTAATTATTTTAATTATTTTAATGGAAGAACAAGAAAAGAGCATCATTCTCTCTTTGGGCATGTTATACAATACCATATAGATTTATTTGAGGTGAGAAAATGGTACCATAGTATGTCCCAGTAGTCCCAAGTAAGTTAAGGCCAGAAAAAGTATCCTATATGGTGTAGAATGGTAAGATAGGTAGAGGAATGCCTAATGTTTGTATTTTGCATAAATTTTATATTAATTTCCTCCCTATTTTAATGCCAAAATGATGAAGGAATATCAAAGAGACAAGTGTACAATCAGATGGGAAAAGAAGGTATTATGTGTACGGTTGAATGCAAGACATATGTACGGTCGAATGCAAGACACGTGTACTATTGGATTAAAGGCATGTGGCTTGATGATGCAAGAATGATGTCATCAAGATGATGTAATCATGATGTCATAGGACACATGCCATCACAAGATAAAAAGAGAAAACGGACGGTCTAGATCAAGCCACATATTTTTAAGATCAACGGTCCAGATTCAATCTTGTTTTTTATAAATACCCCCTCCCCACCCGTCATTTTCTTGCAAGCTATGGACCTATGGGGAAACTCTTACAAAATGGATTCTAGAGAGAGAAAGAAGAGGGAGAGAGAAAGGTCAAGCGGTCATATGCAAGATCAAACTTCAAAACAAGGTATGTTCATAGTTTTTAATGTTGTTTTCACTACCCTTGTTGTTGTTGAGTTTGGTTATGGATTTTAATGATTTTTGGGAGCTTGAAACTCTAGAGGGATATGCTGCACAAAATTCTTAAAAATAGGGGAAGATGAAATTAATGTTAGAATAATGTTTAAAGGTTTGAAAGGAACAAGAATAAGTGGTTTTATATTGAAATTGGTTGAATTTCATGACGATGTAACTTGAGTTATATTTTGGCCAAGGCTAGTTCATAGAGAAGGAGTTTGATTTTGATTATTTTGAGCTTAGAAATAGATTCTACATGCAAAATTGTGTGGGAATAGCATGTGGAATTAATTTTAGAAAGGTTGGAAATCAAGCTCAAAAGTTAGAAGTCAATATAGCTCAAAGAAAACAAAGTGTTGATATTGTTCATTACCATGGCTCTAATGAATGAATGGGAATGATGTGTTGATGCATTTAGGGTCATGAGACATTGAGGAAGATGAATGGCAAAGGTTGAGCAAGCGACCTTAATGGTTGGTAGCAAAAGGAAGCAAGAGGAAGTAAAGAGAAAGTTTAAAGACACAAGGTAGCAAACTTGACCTTACTCTTATCTGCTTGGTATTTGCTTGCAGGTATGACATGTTTCTATGTTTATATGATTTTATGAACTCATGTTGTGATTGTGAATGTGTTTGAAATATGCCATCGGCTTATGTATTTTATGATAAATGTATGATGATTTCCAAACATATCATTATGTTATAAAGATGTTAAGTTGCAAGCATGTTATAAATACCAAGCTTATCATGTATATTTGGGTGGTTATTGTTTGTAACTGAGATTTTTTCAAATCTCACCCCTTTCTAACCAACCATTTAGGTCAAGTATGATGGACAATGATTGCATGAAGGAGAGCATGAGAAGGAAGGAGAAGAAAGTGAAGAATTATTCATGTTAATGAATGAAACTATTGGTTAATGTATGATTCTCCTATTGTGTAAATTATGTACAAGAATGCTAATGATGCGATGTATTGGTTTAGAACATTTATGGCATGACTGAAAATGTATAAGAATGAATGGGAAAGAGAAAACCCAAGTTATGCATGCCAAAACAATAAAAAGAATTAAAGTAAGAATTGTCCCATGGAAAAAAAAACGTAGGTCCTAGAGCAGTCAGTTTCCAGCTCTAGTTTGACCTATCAAATGTATAAGTCAAGCCATGAAATTTGGTATGTTTAAAATAAATACCTGGAGCTTTAAAACAAGTGGCAGATCATTTTAAATGGATGTGTGTGCCAAGAGTTATGCTTGATCAAAATTAGGGCAGAGAAATTAGAACGTATAGTTTTAACCAAATAAATAGTAAATTTCAACGAATAAACTATATGAATTGGGTAAGAATAAGTCCATTTTCATATTTTTCTCCTATACAGAATTGAAAGAGTTTCGAGTAGAATTTTGGAGCACCTTAATACGATTTTTATTGAATTAGTTATGATTTTTCAAAATTAGACTAAAAATCTGGAATTTGACCCGTGAACAGTAACCCAAGAACTAATTGCAAATTTTCAATCTACAGGCTTGGTTCGTGAATTGCTTAAACCGTAATGTTTCCAAACGCATACTTTGAGGGGTCAAAGGAAGGATGTTTCACAGAGAATTCGGTTTCTCTGTGTATCTGATAGAAAGGATATAACTGAACTGATAGATCATACAAATCATCAAGCCAACGACTATCCCCAATTTGGTTGGACCGAAAAACTTAAATAATTCTATTAAATGCTAGTAATGAAAAAATATCCTGGTTAGACCGTGGATTGATGGACTAACCTATTATGGGTTCATACTAAAGCAACGCGAGCCAAAAGGCCCACTCCCAACAGGATTGGTTTGTAGTCAACAAAAACTCCTCATTTTTTTGCAGGACTGTAGGTTGGGCCTGGAGACCAACCTGTATTGCACCCCTTTTGTCTTTTAAAAAAGATTGACACAAGAGATGGTGACCAGTGAGCGTACTCAAAGATCCAAGGATTTAATCAAGAGGAGATTTTTAAATCAACAGAATTACAATAAGTGACCTTGGCAGGAGCATTATACATAGATAATTCTCACATATCCTTTTCCCTCTAAAGGGTTAAAATTTTTTATATTGGTTAATTAACTGCAAAATTATAAAATTTTATTGATCAGCATTTTGCAAAATAACTTTATTCAAACTTTATTACTATTTTTCCACCTTGTTTTTGAAAATATTTGAAATATTTTTTTATTTCAGCTAAAAAAAGAAATAGTTACTTGTTTATGTTACAATTTGTATTCTTAATTATAGACTTCATTGTACGTCTATGAACTTAATTATAGACACTTGTAAATAAAAAGTCTCCATTCAGAACATATTTTTTAGATTAAAGTTAGTAAAAATGACTTTTCTTTTAATTTAATTTTCCTAAGCAAAATTGGATAATAATCAATTAGTATAATATAATTTGTATTTGGATAATATTTTGTAAAAATGTCAGTAAATTTTGAACTTGTTTGGATTCAGCTGAAAAGCATGTTTAAATGTAAAATGTTTTAAAAAGACATGGATTTGTGCGTGTATTATACGTATATAATTTGATTACTTTAAAAGAAATGTTAAAATTAAAATTAAAATAATTAAGAAAAATCCATATCCAAGTAGGTCAGGCTAGTCACAGGCTTAATTACAACCTCTTCATTTATCTGAACATTAGTACCCTTTTAATATTTGACGCCCAACCTATTCCTACTTGAGCAAAATGTTCTAGGCATCTATACATTAGACTTGTTTCCTTGTTTACAATGGAAGTAAAAATGTGAGATACAATCCAAATTAAAAGAGAGGAAAATTACTAATTGTTGAAAAGCAAAAAGAAGTAAAAATGTCAGACGCACAAAATGGAAGGGGAAAGTAAATGGAAAGATGAAAGGAAGGTTGCCATTAGCAAACCTCCTTTTCCATTTCTCATGAGAGTCTGTTAGTTAGCAGAACGGAGAAAATGGTGCGTAGCAGAAAAGAAGAACACGAAAGCCACACACAGCTGAAGAAAAAAGAAAGATAGAGAGAACCAGCAAATATTAGTACTCCTCCGTTAAGACTCTTATACACACTAGTATAAGGGTCTTATATTTAGGATTGAAGGAGTATATGTGATGCATTACAGAAAAACAAGCAGAATTTAGTATGTAATAATGTGAGAGGGTATTGTTTAATTTTGAGATGAAAGCTTCAAGTTCTTGTTCTTCTTTCTCCAGCAGCGTGGGGAGAGGCTTTAGAGAAGAGTTTAGCAAGGAAGAGTCACTGGGTACTGTCTAGATATTGTGTGGCCCAAAGGGTTATTATTAGGGGGGAAAAAAAGAGAGCATATATACTGAATTGGGTTTAACAGAAGGAGTTAGTCTCTCATAATGTGACAAATTAAATGTTTGAATTCCCATTGGGAGAGGTAACTACATTTAGTATTTGGTAGTGTCTCGAATAGAATTGCCTCCAATAGGAGGATACCTATACTTTAATTAAAAAAAAAAAAAAGATTCTAAGTTCCTTTATACAGGCCTAATAAAAAAATGTCCAATATCGTTTTTGTCCATACCATATAATTCTTTGGAAACTGAAGTATAATTAACAACTTTATTAGAATTTTTAAGTTGAATTCGGACTTCCATTAACAAGTTTGTGCTGGTGATTAATTATTTATTCCTACTGCCCTAGTCCTTTCTTTTGTGTAGGTTGAAAAGGTATATCTTGCTGCTCTTACCATTTCTACTTATATGCTCAAATCCTTCATGTGAAAATTTGTAGCACGCATTAAGATTATAAAAACTCAGATTATAAAAACACTGTTTTTTGCATGCTTCAATGAATATTCACAATTCCTTTTTCATTTTTTTTCTCGTTCCAAACATCATGGGCCTCAATTTTCCTTCTTCTAGCACAATGATTTTTCATCAATGGCTCAAGATGATCAAATCAATATAAAACGCGCGGCTAATGGTTAATTCTCTCATCCATAAATATTTGACAAATTTCTTTTCTGCCTCAAGCATACTTGTAATTATCAATCTGATATAAAACAGTAACTAGCAAGTAAATACAGAATCAAAATTAAAACAGTAAATATAAATTATTAGAAGCCGAACAGCCTAGTTCGTTTCATAGTATGCCCCTATTTGACCTACCAAGTTTATTTGGTTCCTCTTTGTATCCAATAGAAACATATTATTGAACAGATAGATCATACAAATCATCAAGCTTACAACAAAAAAACTTAAATTGCATGATTAAATGCCCGTAATGAAGATCGTTGAAAGTAACATTATATTATATATCACATGGCAAATCCATCCAACAAACAGTTGTTACTTAGCCTGGATCAAAAAATATTAACTAAAAAGTATGATCCTACGTAGACCAAGCCAAAGAAGTTACAGATCCTGCAAGAAACATGATAGTGTGTTGTGTATTAAGATAATATTACTTCCGGTTCTAAATATAAGAGCTAGCTGACTAATTTGAGTAGATTAAATAAATAAGTTAAGTTAGTTATTTGTAATAAATAGGCACTCCTCCTGTCCTTAATATATGACCTAATTGTTGAGTTGATTTTGGTCCTAAATATAAGATCTATTTCTCATATTTACCAATTTTTCCTAAATTATCTCAATAGACACTTCCTTAACCATAATAAAATAGAAGAAGGAGAGAGGATATTAAAGAAGATGATTATGGTATTTTAGGAAAAACATGTCATATTTCTTCTAATTAACTAACTTATCTAACTTCCTTAATCTAATCAAATTAGTTAAATAAGTCTTATATTAAGGACCAGAGGAGTATTATTTTTTCTAAAATATCATTGCTAATTAAGTGTATTAGCTAAAACTACTATTATTAGAACGACTACTTTAAAAAAAAAAAAATAAATATGAAAGAGAAGATAGATTGTGGTATCATATTAAAGACTAAAATAAAAGTTAAGGTCTTATATTAAGAACCAGTATATTTTTAGGGCATCAATAAAGAAACAAGATGACTTCATATATCTTACCAATCTATTGGTTAGGTACCTCTAAGAGATTATTCTGTCTGTAACTCTTCTTACAAGCCTAGAGAAGGTTTGTCTCCAAATGCGACTGAAGAGCAATGATCTGAAAGACCGGGAAGGCTGTCCAAAATCCAAAAGCAAATCCGTGTCTGAAGCTCAAGCGAGATTCTTGGGGGAAATGTGAGTCATCATCTTCAAGTCTGATAATACGCAACACAAACTCAAACTTGCATGTAACAAGATCTGCCATGGACATAATGCATGGAAAAACTTCCACTTAAAGCCCGTTATAGTGACAATATCTTCAATACAAGCTCAGAATTAAAGAATTATCAATACGATGCTCTGTTTTAGCAGCCACTTCTGTATTGGATCATGATACCGTATTAATAGGAAAAGTATTGAATGTGTAAAAACAAGAAGTAAATATTAGTCGCACAAAAGGGAAAGAAGATGCATGTGAATGGAATCTGGGGAAGTAAAGGGGAAAGATGAAAGGAAGCTGCCATTAAACGTCCATTTCCATTTTGTTATGTGAGTTTGTAAGCCAGCAGAATAGAGAAAATGGAAGAGGGAAAGAAGACGACGAAAGGCACACATGTGAGTTTGCTCTCTTTTGTTAGCTATGGAGAAAATGGAAGAAGAAAAAAAGAAGACGAAAGCGTCAGAGCTGAAGAAAGAAGAAATATAAAGAGAATGCAAAGATTAGCTTGTGATGTGAGAGGGTGTGAAAATGGCGTACCGTTTATCTGCACTAACCTCCCCATTTTGTCACATTTCCCAGTTTGCAGTGTTATATGTGATAGTGAAATGATTATTGGAACAAAATGGCATTTTGGGTATAATGGTAGCAATTAGCATGATCACATTTAATTATTAATATTTTTATTGGCTATTTATTTTTTTGCTAGTATGAATGGTGCAAACCTCCGGTCAACGTTCGTTGGGGGGGGGTGTTGAAATTGAATTTGATTGTGATGATATTCTTTAATGTAGAAGTTCTTGAACTGAGATTCAATAAATTTAATTTGAACGTGTGTTTTGACTATTTTTAGTTTATTTAAATTTGAATTTGTAACTGTGGAAGGATTTTTTAATCAATATTTTAATATAGATAAAATAGAAGTATGTTAACTTAATGATATGACACAGTAAACACTAAAACCCTTTTAAGAAACTTATGGCGCGGGGGAATTAGTCACTGCGGGGGAATTAGTCACTACTATTACTGGCAATAGATATCATAAGCTTAACCCAAAAAAAAAAAAAAGTAGTTCTATTACATTTGCAAGAATTTGGGAGATGACAAAAGCCTCAGAGCTGAGGAAAGAAGAAAGATGAAGAGACTGGCAAAAATTAGCATGTATGTGATGTGAGAAGGTGTGAAAAAGCTATGGCATCCAGTTTCTCTCCCCTAATAACCTTCCCATCTACTGCCTTCCTCTGCTTTAGTTTGGGCGACATTGTTTTGTGATGAAATTGAAAGCTTTGGAAAACCCTAAAAAAAAAAAACACTTTAACAGGTACTTTTATGTAGTAAAAAAAAAAACTTTTTTTACATATTTACATAGCATAAAGTCACTTAAATTGAGTTAAATCAAACTTTTCATTAGTTAAATGACTTGTGTCATACTAGAGGTACTAAAAACCAAATCAGTCAATAAACTAGTCGAGATAGTAATTCAACGGTCAGTGATTTATATCGGAGTCAATTTTAGGTTAGACCGGTCATGATTAAAATATTCTTTTAAAATAATAAGAATAAAATTGAAAGCCTTAAAATATAAAGTATAATTATAAAAGAAATGTAAATAAGCATTTCCAATAAAAAAAAAAGTAAACAACCATATAATTTACATAATTAATAATTTTGTTGGCAAAAAAAACATAACTAATAATTTTATATTAGGAAAAAAAAATCCTTCATAGTCCATACCCTGCACTTGGCTCTAATTGAGTATATAATAATAATAATAATAATAAGAATGATTTTTCAATTTTAACATGGCTTGGGACCTGAAAAAGCAAAACGTTGAAGGGTGAAAATGAGCTTCAGTTGAAAAGTGTGAGATGGGAGCACGTGACATATAACCATTGAATCATCTTCTTTTAATTAAAAGTAAATAAATTATAACCATCTCTGATAACAAAAAAACAACAAAATTATAACTATCCATTTCATATGAAGGGCTATGGTACAATAACTTCTCTTTTTTAGAACACCCCTTTCAATTCCAAGCTACGAAATCTACAGATCTCGGGCTCTCTTGCAGATCTGGTTGGATTTAGAAAGCGGAAGAAATGGGGGAGGGGCTCTGGTGTTCACCAAGAAAAAAAAAATGGATCAAGATGGATGATGAGGCTAAGAGTTTGACTGGTTTTTTCTCCTTTTTTTTTTTTTTTTCCTTCTTAGTTCTTCTTCGACTCTCTCCATTTATTCAACTCTTCTTAATTTTTTGACGGTATCTTTTTTTTTCCCCTTCAAAACCTGACATTTCCAACATCTGGGAGTTTAAAAAAAGACTTGGTAACTTGCCATATCTGGGTTACGACTGAGTCACCCTCGAGTTGCAACAGGTTGTTTTTGCAGTGGGGTAGAAGCTTGACCGGACCAAGCAAGTAACCGAGCAGCTGGTTTTTGAGGCCAACCCAGACGGTCCGGTCTGATCATCAGTTTCACGCTCTTCTTCCTCTAGGATTGTGGGAAAATGGAAGGTACTGATGGGAAAATGTTTCGCAAAGTTCCAAGAAGAGGGGATCACTGGGGGCAGCTAATCAACAAGCGTCAAAGTCGTATATCTCATGCTTTTTAGCCTTAACGCAGCAAATACTTCATACCTGAAGCAGCATTTTCCATATTATAGATTATAGATTGTTAAACGAAACATTAAGAGTACTCATACCACTCATTTGTCCTCCATTCTCGTCTATTAGGAATATATTAAATTGATAAAATTTTTCATAAAAAAGGATTGGATGATGAATGTACAAAATATCTATAAACTTATATCAAAAGTACATTCACCACGATAATTTTCCTTGGAAGTATAAAAACGCTCGTAAACTTTAGAAACAGAAATAGGAGAAAAATGACATTTTGGTTAACGAGAGTCAACATCCGTTACTTTTCTCAGGCTTTTGCCAGGTGGTGTTCAGGGGTAACTTATAATCTGAAAGTACAAGAATATCCCCTACTAAAAAAACACCTTCTGGCATCTCATAGGCTGGACGCCGGGCGGCTCTTACTGAAATAACGTCGGTCCATCTTCCTGTGCAGCTCCAAGATAAAGAACGGCTAAAAAAAAAAAAGGCCATCCCGGCCCATTATATATATAAAGAAAAAAGAAATTTCGCCCCATTTCCTGTAAGTTTCTCAAGCAAGCGTCGGCAAAATGGGGGAGCAAGAGAGTAGTAATAGCTTCCAAGGGACTGACCGAAGTGTTATTTTTGCTCCTATTTTTAAAGTTTATAAATACTTTTATACATTCAAAAAAGTTATAGTGCTATGACGGTAGATTCACTTTTAATATAAGTTCTAGATACTTTTATATCTTCATCTAAAAAAATATTGGAAAAAAATATGTTATGAATTTTTTCTTATGTTTCTTTTATTGTATTCAACAGAGTTAAAATTTTTAAGATGCAGCAGGTAGCTTAATCTTTTCCACATCTTTTATTCCATATACATATATATAAGTTCAGCCATTCGGAGAATAAGTTTTTTGATGTAGAGATAGAAAACCATGAAGAAGGTTAAAAACAAGACTAAAGCACAGGCACAAACACAGAGCGGTAGCTTTCATTTTGTATGTCACAATATTCTTTTCAAACAACATATGGGACTTCTAATTTATTACTACTTCCGATCCTTAATATAAAAATTAAATAAATTTTAAAATATTAAAAAAATTAGTTGAACTGATTATTTATAATAAACATGTGTTGGTTTTCTTAAACTTTTTTTTTTATAATGTGTATTCAGACTACTTTTTGGTAGGAATCCCTTATAATTAATAGGAATATTATTTTTAAAAAAAGATAAAATGAATTTAGGTGTTATATTTAGAATCAAATTTAACTTTCTAACTAACTCTTTGTTTTTTTTTTTTGTCAATATAACTAGCTTTTATATTAAGAAGCAAAAATAGTGTTACACTAATTTATTATAAGCTCCCCTAGCTTACGTTTTTTCTACAGTATTGGGCATAAAGAAAGGGGGGAAAAACTGTTTCCAATAGTATATCTTTCAAAAAATCTTTAAAGACTAAGTATCAATCACTAAAAGTGAGACCCGCAAAGACTAAATTATTCAACCTCCAACGCCACAAACATAACCCTGACACAAAAATTATTTTGTGTTTTTTTCTTTAGAAACAAAACAAAGTTGTAAATTATTATGCCAGTTATTATGTAATAAAATACCTATTATATAACTCAAATGTAGCAACCCACCAAGGGAGGTGCGGAACCCTCCCAAAAGAGGTGTATGCCACTTGAAGCAACACGCACACAGTATTCTTTAGTAAAAGACAAAAGAATAGTTCGCTCTGTGCCCAGTGCGTGGCCGTGTGCTTCCCAACGTTGGCTTGCTTTCTTCTTTATATGCCTTTGTTACGCGAACTATGTGCCTTCAAACTCGCAGTATGCCTGTATTTTAACATGCCAAAGTGTATTCGGTTTCTCTTTATGTCCAACAGAAATCATATAAATGAACACACAAGTCATACAAATCATCAAGCTATCAGCAATCCTTACTTTGTATAGAACATAAAAAACATAAACAGTTCGATTGAATGCTAGCAATGAAGATTATTGAAAGTAACATTATATTGCATATAACATAGCAAATTCTTCCAACACACGGTTTTTACTTGGATCACAAATTATTAACTATCAAGGATGATCCTACGTACAATAAGCCAAAATAGTTACAAATCCTGCAAGAAACACGACAGTGCGTTAAGCGTTCAGAAAATATTTTTAATGTGTTAAGAAAGAAACATGATTACTTTATATGATGACCCATCTATATATTGGTGAGGCACCTTGCCACATAAACGGCCACCTTGGTCTGGACCCTGTCTGTAATTTTTTTTACAAATGTGTTGTAGGTTTGCCTCCAAGTGCGATTAAAGAGTAATTGCCCAAGGAAGGCCCAAAATCCAAAAGCAAATCCAAATCTCAAGCTCAAGTAAAATTCTTGAGTGAAATGTGAGTCATCATCATCTTCATAATGGTCAAATGCTTTAGGTGTAAGTATTTCATCATCAAGGCACCTTTTGTCCAGTGGTGCTCCGCAGAGATCAAGATTCCCCTCAAATGTGTGCCTTTTGGGATTTTTCCTGAAAGATGATTGTTTGACAACTCTAATACACTTAGGCGATCAATATGAGCAAGACTTTGTTAGTAAAAGATTTTTCTGGGCATAAAATGAATGAGGGCTTATAGAATTTTTTTTTCCTATTTAGCTTTTCAGAAGTGCGAAGTTTTGATGGGGGAATCTGTTTTATTAGGATGTTTTGTCTTATTTGGAAAGGGCATTTGGTGCTAGTAATGCGAGTTAGGGCGACAATGGAAACATAGCACAGCAACAATCTGCAAACCTAATCACCAAGTCTTCATCAATCCCTAGTGATCCATCAGCCGCAGATACATCTACTTCTGATCTGGGGCCTAGCGCTAATGTGCCTGAAAATAATCTGTCCAGGGCTTTTTCTGAAGAGGCTCTTGATTATGAAGCCATGATACTGGATATGGGTGGACAGAATTTAACCAGCCCAGCTGGTTTATCATCAAATGATCTATCGAGGGCATTGGTTGATAGGTTTTCTATCGTTGAGTTGGAGCTTAAATTCCAACTTTACAAGGTTGAATTTTTGCTGCTAACCAGGAATTTGAAGCTAGCCAAACGTGAAGTGAAGCTCGCTATGGACATAGCACGTGGAAGAGATTCTTCAATGGCTCTTCTTTTGAAATCTCAGCTTGAATATGCTCGCCATAACCACCGCAAAGCAACCAAGCTATTGATGGTATCAAACGACAGGACAGACCCAGCATTTTTGAGCATTTTAATTTCCACAACAATCTTGGTTGCATTTACTATCAGCTTGGGAAATACCAGACATCATCTTTACTTTTCTCGAAGGCATTGACTAATTGTTCATCCCTTAGGAAGAACCAACCGCTAAAGCTGCCAACTTTCTCTCAGGATAACGCTCTTCTTATAGTATATAATTGTGGTATGCAGTACTTGGCCTGTGGAAAGCCATTACTTGCTGCTCGCTGTTTTCAGAAGTCTAGTATGGTCTTCTACAATAAGCCTCTCTTGTGGCTTCGGCTAGCTGAATGCTGTCTGATGGCTTTGGAAAAGGGCCTAATTAAATCAAGCCGTGTTTTACCCACAAGATTGGAAGTTGGAGTGCATGTTGTTGGGAAGGGAAAATGGAGGCAACTTGTACTGAACAATGAGATTCCAAGAAATGGATGTGCAGCTGAATTTATCGATATCTCTGGCCCGGCAGTTCCTGTTAAATGTCCTGTACTTGCTGGATTCCAACAAGACGGATAATTTAAAGTCTGGCTTGGCTTTCAATTCGTTAAGTGAGGAAAATCATTCAGGTGATGTGTCATCCAGCAATTCAAACAATAAGAATTTACTCGGAATCGATTTCAAGGCATTTTCATTAGCATTAAGCTTAGGTCAGGCTAATTCAAAGGGGGACGTGAAAGAGCAAAAGGGAGGTACTAATCAGGAGGTCATTCAGAGCTCCCTGTCCCATTATGAAGATATTTGCAGAAGAGAAAATTTATTGATTAAGCAGGCAGCCCTTGCTAACCTGGCATATGTGGAATTGGAATTAGACAACCCTGTTAAGGCACTGTCAGTTGCAACATCTCTTCTGGAACTTGCAGAATGCTCTAGAATTTATCTCTTTCTAGGCCATGTTTATTCAGCAGAGGCACTCTGCTTGCTAAATAGACCAAAGGAAGCTGCCGAGCATTTGTCAATTTATTTGTCTGGGGGATACGCTATTGAATTGCCTTTCAGTCATGATGACTGCAAGAAATGGCAAGTGGAGAGAACTGCTGAATTTAAAGATGGAACTGCAGGATCTGCGCCAGCCAACATTTCTTCATCTGACGATTCTCAACGTATAGATTTTCTTAAGCCAGAAGAGGCCCGTGGGATAATTTATACAAATTTTGCGGCATTATCTGCAATGCAGGGTGAGTTAGACCAAGCCCATCAGTTAGTTGCCCAGGCGTTATCCATATTGCCGAACAGTCCAGAAGCCACAATTACTGCAATTTATGTAGATCTCTTGCTTGGTAAGCCGAAAGAAGCTTTATCCAAATTAAAACAATGTAGCCGCGTTAGATTCCTTCCCAGTGCAATTACATTGAGTAAGTATTAGAGTCTGTTTTATTCATGGGCTTTATCATTTTTTGCTGATCTTCTTACAGCTAGTTAGCCGGTAGCTTAATCTTTTCCATAGCTTTTGTACCATGTATATAAGTTAAGCGATTCAGAGAATAATTTTTTGATTTATTCCTTTATTATGATTTTCAAATTCAAATTTAGGAGCCTCATTCATAGGTGTGGTGGCTGTCTTTTAATTTTTGCTGCGGCCACCCTAGAAATTTGAGGTGTCCTTTTTTTTTTTTGGTTGAGTTGTGTTTCACAGGCTAATTTAGTTTATATGAGAAGTGGAGCTCGTGCTGACATTGAGAAAAAACAGGAAATTTGATAATGATTATATTTTGGGAATGATATGTGTGATAGTGATTATATTTTGGGAATAATGTTGGCATGATTTTATTTGATTATTAATTATTGGTATTTCTATTAACTATTTATTTATTTGTTAGCATGAATGTTGCAAACCTCTAGTCAACATTCGTGGGGAATCTTGAATTTGATTGTGATGGTATTCATTAATATAGCTCTGGAACTGAGATTCAATAAATTTTATTTCAATGAATGTTTTGATTATTTTAGTTTATTTAAATTTGAATTTATGACTGTGGAAGGATGTTGTACTTATTTGGAATCGGATATTTCAGCATGAACACGTATCAATTGTACACTTTTGGCATACAATGCATTTTCTCAAGCAATTGTCTGGTGCAGGTAAAAAAAAAAAAAAAGATCTAATTCATTTGTGCAAGACATTGATAAGCAAGATCTCTTTGGAAATCACTTTTTATAGGAGAGCCGTCAAGCTATGTTACATGTCATTCTATGTGGCAATAAATTTCAAAGTGGGCCCCGGGGGGGGACTTCTAAATGGAATGTTGGCCGAAAGTGAATTGGATTTAGAATTTGGATATATAAATTATATTTTTATTCAAATAAATTAATTTCTTACATTTGTTTTGTCTAAAAAATACTCAAAAACACTATCAGCTAGCTCAAACATGTTAATTTTAATGAGGTCTAATGCCCCTGTGTTTTTTGGATTCACTGGCCTTCACATTCGTGCTTATTCTGTTTTAAGGAGGTGGGTTTTTTAATTAGATGAATTTTTTTATTTACTATTTTTATAACTTTTATTAGGCTAGTAATTGTGTTGCCAATCGACTGATGGAATTAAGAGTGTTAAGTCCATTTTAAGAAAATTAACATCATTTTCAAGTTACCTCATGATCGTTCTAAGTATTTTTCAAAATAGTACTAGCATTCTAAACGGAACTAATAAAAGTGACAGAAGACCAAGAAAATTTGGAGATTAAAAACAAGATTAAAGCACAGGAACACAGTGGTAGTTTTCATTTTGTATGTCACAATTTTCTTTTCGCATAACATACAGGACTTCTAATTTATTAATACTTGTTATCTTAAATATATGACCTAATTTGTCCTAAATATAGGGTTATATCTAAGACCGAGATAGTATTGCATTAATTTATTATAAGCTCCCATATGGTTAGAAAGAAGAGAAAAGACTGCCTCATATTGTATATCTTTCCCAAATATTTTTTAGGAGGGAAATCTTCAACGAGCATTATTTAAATTTTTTCCTCAAAAAAAAAAATCATTTACCGGTTTTAATAAAATACTTCTTCAGTTCTAAATATAAAAGGGAAAACTATATTGGAGGTACTTATACTTTTTTTCAATTTTCATTTTGGTACCTATGTGTTTTTTGTTCTTAACTAAAACTTTATTTTTCCTCTATTAACATCATTAATCCTTATGTAGAGACTAAAAATATCAATAGAACAAAGTTATAAGAGCTAATGTTGCTAAAAAGATAAAATTAAATGTTTAATTAAAGGGAAAAAAACACATAGGTACCAAATTAAAAATTGAGAAAAAGTATAGGTACCTTCAATATGGTTTTCCCAATATAAAATTATAAAACAGGACCCTTCCAAAGATAGGCATATGGCGCTTGAAGCAGGCACGCCGTGTTCTACAGTAAAAGGAGAAAGGAGTGTTTGCCGGCTTGCTCCCATTTTAATATGCCTTCCGCTGTACGAAACATAATGAGCTCACCGATGTGGGACTCTAAACTTCTGAATTATTGGTCCTCTTTGGGAACTTCACATTGCAAAATGCAAATTAGCATGTATATACTGAGCAAACTTTAAGCAAGGATTCTGAGTTCCTCACAGGCTTCAAATAAAGGTCCAATATTGTTTCTGTCCAAACCATATAATTTCTACGAAACTGTTGTATAATTAACAACTTTATTACACTTTTGAAGTTGAATTCGGACTTTCGTTAATTAACAAGTTTATGCTGGAGATTATTTATTTCCTTTGGTATAACTTGAAAATACATCTTGCTGCTCTTATTACTATTACGACTATGCTCAGATCCTTCACATGAAAATTAGTAGCACATAACAAGATTATATATAACAAAAAAAAAACTCTGTTTTTCCCAATGCAACAATAAATATTCATAATTTCATTTTTTTTTTCGTTTTTGTTTCCAAAAATCATGGACTTCCATTTTTTTTTTCTTTTTGTCTTCAAGCATAATGATTTTTTCATCAGTGGCTTAAGATGATCAATTCAACACAAAGCGGCTACTGGTTAATTTTCGTTCACATAAATATTTGACAAATTTCATATCTGCTGCCTTAAGCACATTTGTAATCAACAATTTAGTACAAAATAGCAGCGAGCAAGAATATATGGAATCAAAATTAAAACAGTAAACTTAAATTGTAAGAAGCTAAGCTACCAAGTTTTGTATAGGGTGCCCACATTTATCCCATAGAAATCATATAACCGAACAGACAAACATTCATACAAATCATCAAGCTATCAGCCCCAGTTTGCATACAACAGAAAAGATTTACAAGGCAATAGAAAAGCAACAGCTCGATTGAATATAATGCTGGTAATGAAGATTATTAAAGTAGATTAGATTACATAAAACATAGCAAACTCATACAACCAACGGTTTTTACTTGGAATCACAAATTATTAACTACCAAGGATGATCCTACGTACACCAAGCCAAATAAGTTGCAAATTCTGCAAGAAACATGATTATGCGTCACATATTTTGAAAATGTCACTAGTGCAAAAAGCAAGAAAACATTATTACTTTATATGATTACCTATCTGTTCGTGAGGTACCTTGCCCCATAAATGGCCATCAAGATCTGGACTCTATCTGTAACTCTCCTTACAAATGTATAATAGGTTTGTCGCCAAGTGCGATTGAAGAGCAATGGTCCAAGGAAGGCCCAAAATCCAAAAGCAAATCCCAATCCCAAGCTCAAGTAAAAGTCTTGAGTGAAATATGAGTCGTCGTCATCATCTTCATAATGATTAGATGGTTGAGGTGAGGGTGTTTCATCATCAAGACACTTTTTGTCAAGTGGCGCTCCACAAAGATCAAGATTTCCCTCATAACTTGTGGCATTAAAACTCTGCAATTGTGTGCCTTTTGGGATATTTCCAGAAAGATGATTGTTTGACAAGTCTAACACACTCAGGCGATCAATATGAGCAAGACTTTGAGGGATTGGACCTGATAATCTGTTTCTTGACAAATCTAAGAATTCTAATGATCCCAGGTTTCCAATCTTAGGAGGAATTTTTCCACTTAATTTGTTTCTGGATAGATTCAAAGAAACCAATCCCAATAAAGATACAACTTCTTTGGGTATTTCACCAGTGAGAGCATTGCCAGATAGATCAATGCTTTTAAGAAGTTGTTCTGGCCTCTTGAACAAGTCATCTTTACCCTTCCACATCAATGTTATGTAGAATTCAAAAGAAAAATAGGTAGATCCCTTGCCTGCCTGATTGAACTCATATGAATGAGAAGCTAAGTTGATATAGTCATCATGTACCAAAGCCCTAAAATTTTGAAGACATGATGGGATTTCATTGGACAAATTGTTATGAGATAGGTCCAAGAGCCGAATATGGCCTAAGCGACAAAGATACAAAGGTATTTTGCCATATAAATTATTCATTCTTAAGCTCAGAATTCGCAATTGTCCAAGGTTTTCTCCAATCCATGAAGGTATTGACCCTAATAACTTATTTTCAGACACATCTAAGAGCAATAACTGGAAGCAATTTGTTAAAGAAAAAGGAAGTTCTCCAACTAGGCTGTTGTTTCTTAAAACCAAAGCCTCCAAATTCATAAGTCGTCCCATAGAGGTTGGCATCACTCCGGACAAGTTATTATTGCTCAAATCAACAAACGTTAACGAGCTCAAATGGCTCCAACAATCAGGTAGATGTCCCTCTAATCGATTGTTTGATATGTCTAAAATGCCCATGTCTTCATTGTCTTCAATTTGATCACATAGAAGTGGGACCAAATTTGAGAATTTGTTTTCTGAAAGATCAAGTGTTGGTACTCGTGAAAAAAATGATGGAACTGCACCTTCAAAGTTGTTTGATGTCAAATATATTGCTCCAGTACTGAGCTTCAATGATAAATTTGGAATTTCACCCAAAAAATTGTTATATGAGATGTTCACGTCAATCGCATCTTTTATCAAGGGCCAAAACCATTCAGGCATGAAACCTGAAAGCCTGCAATTAGAAATATCCAAACTCTCCAACTTGTGTTGATTATGGAGCCAATGAGGAAAATAAGGACCCAACATACAAGAAGCCATTTCCAATTCTTGCAACTGAAATGGGGCAATCCATCCAGTGCTAATTTGTAGGGCTAATGAATTGCCAGACAGTGATAACCCCTTCAAATTAGAGAGCTTGTTGAAATGAGATTCAGTTATTACACCTCCTAGATTGTTCCCATCTAGGAACAAACGATTCAATTGAGATAGCAATCCGATGCTTTTAGGTACTTCTCCTTTTAATTGATTGTTAGAGAGATCTAAATATTCCAAAAAGGAGAAAACAGAGAGATTGGTTGACATGCCCTTTATTTGCTGTAGCTGATGACTATTGCACCAGGAAGTGTTTTGGA